ACAATAAATGGAACAAAACTCTCTCTCTCTCTCTCTCTCTCTCTCTCTCTCTCTCTCTCTCTCTCTCTCTCTCTCTCTCTCTCTCTCTCTTGTGTTAGTTATTAGTCTCATTGATTTGGCTACCTTAGGGCTGCATTTCCCGCGCCCACGCGGTAGACAATGAAGAACGTCCAGGCTGTCATGGCTGGCACCTCATCTTTTGTGGCTCAGCAGTCCAGGATGCCATGGCTGGCTTTGCCGATCCAAAACAAAGCGCTGAAGCCCCAGTTCTATCTGTTTTTGGGCGCACGGCTCAAATTCACTAGTGGTTGAGTTCAAATAGCAAGCATTTCCGAGAATGGGCCATATTTGAGTCCAGAAGTATATTCCAATGCTCACATGTCCTGCCTCTGGATGCATTGCCACGCCACAGGGATGGAGAAAAATTGTGACCTAGACCCCCTCTCCACCCTCGCATCATGATCACAGACACATGCAAGAAGGGCACCCTATGGCCTTGAACCAGCAGTGCAACAGCCCCCGCACCCTAACCCCCCCCCCCCTCCAATCTCGCATCATAATCACAGACACATGCAGGAAGGGCACTCTATCGCCTTAAAACACCAGTGCAACAGCCACCGCACGGCGCACTGAAGAGTTCAGTCATTTACGAGTACCCGGCAGTGTGAAAGTGCTACCACCGCCATTTTTGTGAAGGCCTGCACTTTAAGTTCTTCAAAATGCATTTTTTGGTTCATTGATATAGCTTTGGATGGACTGGTGGTTCAACTACCGCTTTCCAGTCTGTGGAAGACCTCAGTCTTTTCGCATCATGATCTGATTCCCCCCCCAACTCGCCCACTTTCTCACAAATGGTTGCCCCATCACTTCCACAATATACCTTCACATGACATTACCACATACGAACTCATCTCACATTTTGGGCTGAGCATCACAACCTTGATAGGTGCTTAAACATAGTAGGGTTTTTTTTTTTTTTTTCACAACTGGTTGGCCCTGATAGTGCTGGTGATACGAGCCTCTTCACGACTACCAAGCCATCCGTTGGCTCCGATCTATTGGTGGGGAGCAACACCTGCCAAATCACATACAAAGAGTGCTGTGAACTTGGCTGTAGCCAGCCTCCCCTCCTGCCCCATTTCCTCGGTGCTATGCTGGCTGACTAGGTAGCCCAGCCCCCTGATGGTAGTTTTAACATCCCAACAAGAACACAGACACTGTGGTTTACACACAACACATGTCAGTCAGTCTCAGTCTCACAGAGCCTTCTAGCTTGAACCTTCTTCTCCCGAATACAACGTACAGTCATTATAGCTGTGTTTGTGGAATCTCTGAGTCTAAATACAGCTATAATGGCCATACCTTGTATTCGGGGGAAGAAAGTACTAGTAAGAAAGTACTGGTACTGGTTGATATAACAGTGGGACTGGACTCCTTCAGTTGCAGTTACTTCTGAAATATAAATCTCTGAGAATTCCCTTGAACATGACAGAGGCACTGGTCTCCTACAGGTTCAGTTAGATGAGCAGGCAAACATCACTCTACACACATCGACGACTCTTTGAGCTTATTTTTCACAGCCCACAAGAATTTCTCATTCATTCATTACTTGCCATTCATTCACTTCACAGAGACAGTGCTCACACATGAAAAGAAGACATTCAAAATCACAAAAATCAGTCGAACCTCCACGCCAATCAATCAATCTGAGTTGGTCCCCAATTTGCTCGGCATTCTTGACTTACTCCCATTGCGTCTGCAGGAAGTGAGCATATCAATATAGAACTGGCATTTCCCAATGTCAGAATCATTATGCTCCAGACACTGCAACAAACCAAAAGCCACATCCAGCCACAGCAAAATCAAGTCATCACTCATGCAATATATCAAGGAAATGGAACAACTATGATTTGCTGCTCTGTGCAAACAACCGAACGAACACATAAGTACAAACACTTCACACCCCACAGACCGACGAGCACACGAAAATCAAGTGTTGAAAAATGAGGCAAGAACAACATCAGGCAACACATACGAGGGGGTTGCAGGAGCGAGGAGCAGAGGATGGGCAGCAGGGGGGCAGTTGGGTTGGAGGCGGCTCTCGGCGGGGGGTAACCCGAAGAACGGTAGTCCAAGTCTAGACCCTTAAAGAGTCCAGCCCAGGACAAACAGGACATGATTGAAGGGTTCTATGCATGATGCCCCTCTGCCGGCACACTGCCCCTGTGCCGATGCTTTCTCGAGATGACCACCATACACAGCAAACAGCCACACAGGAGGCGGTGACCAAAGCACGAGTCAAGAAGAAAGCCCGGTCATTATGTTACAATGATCAACCCTGCACAGCCAGACGCTCATCATGTGTCAGATCACAGGAGACACAGAGACAGCAGGAAAAGGGGACCCAGCTGGTCAGAATTTTCAAGACAAGCTCATCGCTGGACGCCAAAGGTCACCCGGGTGGCCTCTCGGGCATTGGGTAGGAAACCGCCTTCCCGGGCCTCCCGCATGTAAAGGGAGAGCGAGAGCCACAGATACTTTATGAGGACTGATGAAGTGCAGCAACGAATGGTGGGGGCGTGCGGCTTGGAGTGTCGAACCTGAGAAGAGGCGGTTGGGGGGAAATTGTGGCTGTGATTTCCAGGTCCTGTAACCGACAGGACCTGGAAATCACAGCCACAATTTCCCCCCAACCGCCTCTTCTCAGGTTCGCCACTCCAAGCCGCACGCACCCACCATTCGTTGCTGCACTTCATCAATCCTCATACCTGGGCCCTCCACTTTGCCATCACCCACCCACTTTGTTGTCGTCATAATTGCATCCTGGTCACCCATTGTTGTCAGTAAGTGAGAGAGAGAGAGCGGAAGGCTGGTCCTCCTCGTCTCTCCTCCTCCACATTCGTCATCCTTCCTCATTTCCCTTATCCACTTCCTCCTCCTCTCCTCCTTCCTCCTCCCTCCTTTTTGCACACCACACCAGCAATTTTTTCTTGTCAATCACTCCTTCGCCGCCACCCTCCCGTCCTCCTCCTGCCGCCTCCTCCCTCCTCCATCTTCCTTCCTGTTCCTTCCTCCTCGCTCCTCCTGGTCTCCAACTTGGTCTCCAATCCTCCCTCCTCCTCCTTATCCGCTGTGCTCCATAGTGGGAGGAGAAAAAAGGAGAGAGGAAGGACGAGAGGAGACAAGGATGGACTACGGAGAGGAGAGGGAGGGAGGAGGACACAAGGATAGAGGAGAGGGAGGGAGGAGGACACAAGGATAGAGGAGAGGGAAGGACAAAGGAGGCCACACAAATTCACCTTGCCCGACTTTTCGATCTCTCCTCCTCCCTCATTGCTCTTCTTCACCTCCTCCCTCCTCCTTCCTCCTCTGCCTGCAGTCCTTCCACCCTCCTTCCGCCATGTGGCACAGCGCCAGCTGCACCATGCATTTTTTTCCATTTTGTCGATTTCTCCTCCTCCCTCCTCCTCCCTCTCCCCTCCTCCCTCCTTCCCTCCCTCCCTCCTTCCTCCCCCTTCCTCCTCATCTTCCGTCATCTTTCCTCAAAATGACAACTCCCACACCCCCAGAAAAGTCTCCAGAAAATCGGGGGGAAAAAAGAACTCTCCAGCACACACCCCGGTGACCCAGGTGGATGCCAGGCGCTCTGCCCTCCCAGGCACACCCGACCGGGTGACTTCATAGCACAAGTCAAGTCACCACAGTGTCCACAATACATGAACTCTTCTCCACACAGTCCTGACTCCAAAATAAGACATTTCAAATCACCACCGCCCCCAGCACCGGCCACAGCCTGTGGATATACACACCGATCGCAGGATGGGCAAATCTACCGACTGTTGAGGGGCAACGCTTCAGGACACAACTTCAGAGTGCCTGTGGATGCACACCACTGCCCCCAGCTTCCAGCGATTTTCATGATTGTTCTTTTTGACAATGCATTCCTAACAAGATCATGAAATGCTGACTAAATGCCAATGGGTTAGCGAAGACTTAAGGTCAAAAATAACAATAAAAAATGTAGCAAGTGGGAAAAAAAAGGCTATCGGGCAGGAAGACATATCGTAATCCCCATGCTGTCACCTACTGTCTAGACCCAAATAGAACACCCAGTCATTTTTGACGCATCTGGACTGCAGCTTACACCAAATACAGCTGCAATGATCGGGCATTCTATTCGGGTGAAGACGGTCGGGAGAGGTTTGTGTGGCTGAGATTCTCCTTGGACAAGAACTCCGAGCAGAGAGATGGACGTTCAGAAAAGTAATTATACCCATAGAGGCTTCTCATCCTGGAAGCCATTGGGCGGAAAAAAATAAAGAGGACCGGGGATTTGCCACTACAGATGTCGAATTATCCAAGTGAGAAGTTCCAGTCATTCTGCTTTTCTGTGTTGTGCAGTCTCCTGCCAGACAATAGCCAATAGGGCGACTGTTTCTGCATCAGGCAAGAAAGACAAAATTCCGCAGCTTTGTCCGCCAGGTGCAATACCGCCTCAGACACAGGAGGGCCAAGAGGCACAGATGAAGAGAAGCTGCATCTCTGCTGTCCATGTCCAGACATCCACGAGTGGAATCTTGGTCGTTGTTTTTAGCCTGCATGACTTACATGCCACAGGACCAAATGGGGGAGGAAGGGATAAACAGGGGAGAGAAGAGGGGAATAATCAGAGTGAACAGAGAGGAAGGACTGTCCCACCACATACAGCACACATGCATCCCTGCTTTGAATTCTCTTCTACCCTCTTCGGCCTCCCTGCACTCCCCAAAAAAGGAAATGAAAAAAAAAGACATGAGACAAATTATGATGCATTGGGACGCTGGACCCGGTTTCCAGCAGGTGCAGCTCCCCACCTATAGAATGGAGTCATCCAAAACACGGGCCAGTAGAAGGGGTGTCTGCTCTTACCAGCATCCAAAAAAAAAAAAAAAAAAGAGAAATGGGCCTGTTCAGACTGCCCATACTCCAACCGCCGACTATGCCTGCTCTGCCAGACTAGCACTATAAATAGACACTGGGCAATTGCGACAAGTTTAACCACAGGCTGATCGGCAAATGGTGGCATTTAAAGCTGCCAAAGATGGCACAAAGCAGTTCTACTCACATCTTGAAATGCCTTCGCCTGATTAGCACACGCATCAACTGTCTGACCCCCGAAAGGCGATGAAGCTGCAAGAGGCTCCGGAGCAGCAGCCGCAGGTGCTGCACCACCACCTCTTGGACCCATCACAGCATCAACTGCTCTGTGCGCCACAGCACTCCCAGTTCCAAACGCCATTCCTGCATGTGGTCACAATCAAAGCGTGCGTCAGAACTTGTGACATACCAATAACCATTACATTACATAACAGTAGTGTTCAAAGCTGAATTACAACGATGGGCCAGTTGATAGAGGGATGTTGGATAGGTCCGAATAATAAGGACGTTGAGGACCGGAGAAGGAGTCCATCAATCATCACTAACATACAGAC